TGCTGTTTATATGAAATTTTATATAGAAAAAGAGAGCCGATCGTGAGAAATCGTCCCTTGGACAGTGCGTGTTTTAGTTTTCTCTGGAAAAGGATTTTTTGAAAGATCAGAAGAAGAAAAAAGTGGAGAATGTTGTAGAGATGCGAAGACGGTATTTTAGAAGGATCGAGTTAGAAAGTGTTCGTTGTCGAGGAAAATGTATAATACATAAATGCCGCGTTTATTTTCGAAATCTTCATTATTAAATAGAGAGTACAAGTTGTCACCGCGTTTTGTCGAGTTGAATTCGACGAATTTGAGAAACGAAACGAGACAAGGGATAACGATGGGAGAGCTTAACGTCTACCGGGCCACAATTCTCACACGTGTAGAACGCATTTCATCGGGGGTGGGGGGAGAATTATTCTGATCGATTCACCTTTTTCCAAGTTTTTTATAATCAAGGTAAGCGGGTGCGTGTGAATGAGCGAGGGTGATGATCGAACAAAAAAAAAAAGAATAAAAATAAAATCATTATTACCTACTTCGTAAGTAAATTATAAAAGGAAAACTCATACACAGTTTGTAGCGACTCGAGTCACTGATTTATTAAGAAAGTAGAAGAAATAAAAAGATTAAAATGAACTCCTCTCTCTCGTTTTTATCTCTCCTTTCTTCTTCCCCCTTCCTTTGATAATTTTCGTCGCGATTCAAAATGGAGTCTCCTTCGAAGACAGGGATTGAAAACCAAAAAAAAAAGAAAAAAAAAAAAAGAGCAGTAACATCGGGTGTTGCGTAACAAAAAAGGTTCGATTTATTGTTTGTAACGTATATTAAAACAGATGTATAATATAATTATCGACAGAGCCAATAAAATCTACGATCGCGGTGTTCATTTTCTTTTTTTCTTAATTCTCTTTCACATTTAACTAGATTTGTTTCGTTTTTATTTTTCATTATTTTCTTCAGTTTCTTTTTTTTTTACTCTCTTACAGATATACCTTCACAAAAATACACTTCTCTCTCTGTTTGTAACATTCCTTATTCTTTACGGGAGCAGTTACGAGTAATAAAAATATCGTTCGACGAATTTGATCGTTCACCACGCGCGACACGCGTTTCTTTTTTTTTTTCCCGCCATTTATTCCCTTCGCTTCGCTATTTATTTTCTTTGTCTCTCTCTCGCTTCGTTTAAATATGTATCCTTATTTAAATGTTACTTTTACTTTATTTTTGTTTGTTTTGTTTTGTCATCACAGATTACTCTCCTTCCCGAAAAAGAAACATCTGGCCATTGGAACGTTCGAAAATTGTGTCTTCTCTCTTTTTATCTGTTACTAACGCGACGACGATTCAAGTTCTTCCCTGTTCTGATGGCCACCACGCCATATATTTTTCTTTCTCTGTTATTCTTTTAAGAGATCGACGAGCGACGATATTCAAGTTAAAGAAAATTCTCTCTCTCTCTCTCGAGGCTTGCGTACTTACTCGCGCGATCACACGTAACAGTACGTATAATATGTATAACAGTATCGACAATAAAAGTGCTCATCTTTTTCATTCTTATTTTTCCTTCGCATATATATATATATGTATATACATATATAAAGAAACGGATATTACGTTAACAATTACGTAAAACAAGTGTAGTACGAGTGTATGTACTCTTTTTCAGATTCTCTCTGTGTGTGTGTGTGTGTGTGTGTGTGGATGTGTACGTACTTTATTATTAATCATATACTGCGTATTTTTCTTTTCTTTTACTTTCTGGCACAAAAGTTAATATTACGTACGGTAAGATCTGTACAAAAATAAGGAGCAGCACTTTAAGCGGTTTTCATGAAACATTTTGGCGAAAATTCGCGAAACTTATACTTCTCTCCGTTGTGTGAGTGTGTGTTTTTATTTTATTTATCTTTTTGCTCCTAGTTAAATCCTTCTAACGTTCTCTTCGTTCTCTCTCTACTTTCGCTTGCTTTTCTTCGAACCGCGTCTCCCCGTTCTACGGTTGTTCCTATAGTTGCATATTTAACAATTTGTTCAATTTGTCGTTAAACCATGTATACTTATTAGCGTGTACGTATATGTATATAATATAACATATTCTAAGATTTTCCTATAAAAAAGAAGTTTTCGTCGCATGGTGAACCAACAACCGTACGATTCAGCGAAAACGTGTTGTTTACAATTTAGTCGTTGCTTCCTACGTAGTATCTCTGCGCGTGAACGACAGTATTCTCTTCTTCGTTGATATTAATGCCGGTAGTGCGTTCGCGATCGAGGATCTCGAAATAAGGGGAAATTCGCGAAATCGTACGGCTGACGCTACCCTAAAAGTCTCCTATAAAAATAATACAACAAGCTTCGCTATGTTATTATTATAAGTCGGTAGCCGTACGTTCTTACAGTTATAACAAAATAATTAATATCGTTACGCGGCAACAATCGATCGGTAAAATTGCGTCTCTTTTCTAGTCCCTAAGCGTAAAGAGTGTGATTACTTTTTTTTTTTTTTTTTTATTTCTTCTCTATTCTCGGTGTTCTCAGCAGCTCGGTACACATACGAGAAAAAAAGGTATATCCTGTTCGTAGATCGTAATAAATCATTAAACGATTAACTGCTAAAACAATACAGGCGAAAATCGGATTGACTAGAGATTTTTCTTCTTTTTCGGAGGAGAAAAAAAAAACAAACAAACGTCCTCTATAAAAATCGAGTTACAGGTCACTCTCTGTTGGAAACATGATGGGGAGAAACGAACGAAACAGAGATGAGTGAGGGTCGAAAAGAAGGAAACCGATGAGCATCGAGGCTTAACGAACGTGTTAATAAGAAGAATAAAGTCCGATGCCTCGATTCTTGAACAATTATTTTTTCCTCTTTCTTTTTTCGTTTTTTTTTCGTTTTTTTTTTTTTGTAACTCTACTATAACTCTACTACGATAATAATCTTTGAAATTCGAGCAACGGTTACGTAGCAAAGATAACACGATACCTCTCACGTACCGTGAACGAAAATCGTTGCGACAAATGTTTGCTCGATACCGTTCATGTATTTTGGGCGTTGCTCTCGAAGTTGCTCTTTCGAAGTCTCACCGAATTATCCCCCCACGTTTCGACACGATACAACGTCGCTCTCTATCCAGGCGTTGAAGTCTCCGGCGTCTGTTCAATGGCACTTTGCACTGTAAAGCTTACCGCGGTATATGTACACGATACAAGTACATAATGCCTTTTAAAAAGGGTTCCGTTTTGTACGTTGTCACATAAACGTATCGTTTTGAAATCATCTTTGGCTTCGAAGCGTCTTATATCTCATTCTTTTTTTTCTCTCTTTTGTCACCCTTCACCCCAAAATACATCTATTGATAGAAGCTCAATGAAAATATTCTGCGAAGATATTATACGTGTCCCCCTTTTTTTCTTTCGATGTATACACAACAACTTGATATATGCATATATATATACGTACATACATATATACATATACATCTCTTCGTGTATTGTTTCTCCTGTTTGCACGATAAATCTTACAACTTTATCTCCTCTTCGAATACTACTTGTAATTGTCAGACATTCGCTAGAATCGTCTCTTGGTCAGTCTATGTACATATATTTATATACGGTGTATTCGTTTCATTTTTTTAAAGACTGTATGATATTTTCGTAGATATTTTTGTTTCTTTGTTTGTTCGTTTTTAAGACACAACAGTAACTCCGGTCCACGATACAAAGGGAAGAAGTTGCATATATCGTGGTTGAACGTTGGTTAGAGGGAATCGGGGAATTCGAGAATCCCTAAAGTTGTGCTCAAAAAATTACTTTGTTTCTTCGTGAAATTCACACTGATATCACCTCGGAATAAAAGATACTAGTAATAATCCATTTTCGATGTTCGTAAATCGATCGAAAAATTTGCGATAGCTAGTGTATAATAAACGCACCCTAGGCCAACGCGTATATATATATATCGAGACGATTAAATCATATTAATAAAAAATGCTTCCTATTGCACGCGTCACTATGCGTTTTACTAAGCTGATTTACCCTCGTAAACGGTATGCTATATGAAAAAAGTCATAAAAAGCACTTCTTCGGTAAAAGATTCTAATAAAAAAAACAACGTTGTCTGTCTCCGCTAAAGGTGTTAGAACTGAAGATAAGCTAAGAATAACTAGAACGGAAAAGAAGCGAAATACAAAAATCGTATCGAAGATTTCTTTTAAAAAACGTCCCATTTCGAAGACGTTGAAACTAGCTCTGTGTTTTACAACTATACGAGACTAGACCTAGAATTGGCTATTAAGATAATTTAATGCTACCATTCGTTATCTCATGTGAGTCGTCCTTCTAAAGTGCAAAATAGTCTTATTCCTTTTACTCTTACGAACTTCGATACGGCTTCGTCTAATAAAACAGTCTTCCAACTCAAGCATGCGTGGCCGTTTTACTTCTTCTCTTTTTTCTTTTTATATTTCATTTAAATGCTAATATACGCGATGCACTTTCCCCCTTTTTTGATATTATCCGAGGATAATCTCGTTTTGTTCAACGTGGGAATACTTTCGATAAATAAAACGAACGTTAAACAACGGAATCACGAATACCTGATAAATTACACCTCGGTTATTGACGATCGTTGTAGTAACAATTGCAAAGAACGTTCACGTATCTCTCCTTCACTTTTTCGCCACTTACACGAAAAATGCATCGTTAGGCTGTTTCACGAGAGGTGAGAGACGTGCAAGGCCGTGCGAAAAAGGCGCAAGATCGTGAACTATATAGCGGAAACAGCCTCGTAACACTTTCTAATATCTCGTTGTCTCGTCGAAGAAAATATGCTCAATGTTTGAGAACCTAAAATTCTACGATTAAAATGCACAATATAATCTACGAACCCTGCACAGGTGCAACTGGAAAGTAATACGAATTAAAGTATCCCACGAAATCTTTCTATACCACTGATACAACGTGCTTGCAATTTTAGATGCGAACCAGCACATGCATTTTTAAACATCGTCCTAGAACTTTCGGCACAACTTGTCGATCTCCTCGTACCTCAACTGAGAACCAACTGGGCTGGAAGCCCTTGTGGCTGGCGCGGTTCTACTACGACGTACAGAACTTCTTAACGGTATTTTGCTATGTCCCTGATTATGATTCACGTCTAGCGTCGAGCACCGTCTCAGCGCTCGGCTCAGCCGTTCCAACGGTCTGTAGTCGGTCACTTCTAAGCTGTGCTGATCCTTCAGAATAGGCTTAGTGTCTTTCGTCTCGAGCATCTTTAAACTAAAGTTAGCAGAGTTCCTCTTAGTCCTGTCCAATGTACACTTTGACTGTAGAATCTTCGGCTTGTCCTTCTCCAATACCAACGAGTTTCGTCGTTTCATCTTGTCGTCCAATGTCCTGTCCTGATTCAAAGCGAATCCAAACCTAGCTCTCATCAGAGGGTTGATGTACAAAGGATCCTTTTTACACAGCTGTTGATTCTTCTTCACCAGTCTCAAACCGTCTTCACAATCGATAGAAGTTCTGATGTCACTAGGCTGGTCGCTTGTTCTTCGTTTCAAACAGTCCTCGAATTCCACGGAGGAATTTCTCTTAGGTTTTCCCTTGTCGAAGTTCATACTGGAAGGCCTGACGCGATTCACGTTGAACATGCTTCTCCTTTTGCCAAATAGGACGTCTTGCAAGTGCGGTATCTTGGAGGTGCTCTGCGAGAATTGCACTGGTATCCTGATACCAGCGTCCACGAGGAACTCGTCGTCCGACAGCATTACCGGTATCTCAGGCATCGAGCTACAAGGCCAACAAGAGTTATAGTGAGCTGCAAGCGTTCTTACAGTGGCAGTGTCCTTGCTGGCAATGTTAGTGGAAAACTCGCGGGCGTAATCTCGTGTTAGTAGGAAATTTTGCTGGGACCGTCGCCGGTTCTCCCTCATGATCGCCGAGAATACGGATTTTCCGTAATCGGACGAGGGACACGAATGGAAACCGTAGTCCTCCGAGTAGTCTGCGCATTCACACGATTCCGGCCACAATATAAACGGCAATGCTAATTTCAATCGGCTCCGCTGTGATGCCTTTTGCATTACATAATCACTGCATGATCCATTGTCAAAGTTAGTATGGCTTGTACTAATGTTTGAGTTGGTATGCCCTATTCTTTCCCAAGGATGTGTTAGTTGAATTCTGTTAGATGCAAAGCGTGTAGAATTCGATATTAGCTTTCTGCTGAAATTTCGTTAGTAAACAGGTAAAAAAAGATAGTGGCATTTAACTCTACTTTCTCATCAAGTCTCGAAAACTCTATCTCTTCTATTCACGAGAGTATATGTAATCGTTAATATTAGATGTTAGTATTATGCTTAAAAATTAAGGTTACTTTTATTCGTAAATACAACGAAGTAGGAAATATATGGTTTGTGTACCTCGGTTTTGGTCCATCGCTTGATTGACGAGCAGACCCTACGCTATCTGTAATATATATTACGCGTTCGAATTATTATTAGGAAAATAATTGTACGTGTATGTGACGACGATACCGCGACGATATATTCACCTTTCGATGATGTCTGCGATCTGGAAAGAAACAAAACATATTAGGTGAATTCAAGACGTAATCGAATGACCTTTATATACACAGATTGCGTAGCGTAACTTACAGCGGTTTCGTTGAGCTTTCGCCAGTCGTTCGTCGCCATCCACCTGCATTTGTGATATTTTAAATATTCAATTCTTATACCATGATAATAATTTACCGAAATTTACCATCACGTACCTTTTTTCATTGTAGCCCCTCCGTTTGGGGATTT